TCGAGCTGTCAGCCGCATACATAGTTCTGCACAGGCATCTACAAACTGATGGCACTGGTAGTTGATTAGTCATCAACCTCCCCTGGCCCATATGACGGTTGATTGGCATATGCCCACCATAAATATTACTTGATTTGAGTTGACGATTGTATCCCTGATTATGGACTGCCGCAATAGTTTGAAAGCTCAGACTAATAAAACAATGATTCCGGATATCGACAGGGCCTCTGCTTCTTTTCGATCTCGGGTAACTACGTCAGGTCTCAAATGAGTGCGAGTGCCAGGAGTCACGATCAGAAGGAGCACGTACAGATTAAGGCCACTAGCCATCCACTGTATGCGCACAAACACTAACGACGAACTGCGAGATCGAATCATGACTATCAGGTAGCAACCTTCCAAGATAAGGCCCTTAGCGCACTGTTATGAGATCAGGCTCGGATCCATATCTAACAGAGGAACCGCATGTAAAGAAGCTGCGGATCATACTGCAATCTCACGTAAAAGGAGTTGGTTGTGATCACGTTGTATATGTAGAGCTATTGAAATGTATTTGACCAAACAATCAATAAACTCTTAATCATTTTTTGAGAAAACAATTGAACCCGCTTCAAAAGTTAGCAGTAGGACAAGTTTCATTCTTTACGTTAGATGGGTAACGTAACCTAAAGTTAGAAATCAAAGAAGCTCCTGTAGGATTTCAAAGATCAGATGTTTGGACTGTAAGATGCATTCAAATTTCATTATTTATCACAGAAATGTCAATACCGCATAGTTTGCCTGTGTTTTTCAATTGAGGGATCGGCTTGAGTGTTCGTGTATGTCTAAGCATCCATTGTATCCTCACTGTGAATACCTTCCGGCAAATTTCACCGATCTGTAGTGGAACATGGCCTACAGCTTTCGTAATTTTTGAAAAATTAATCTTGTTTCGGGTTGCTTTCCCTCTCCTTATTAAACACTTCATTTCGGATTGGTTTTCACAGGTAAGCTGAGGATGCGTGAGATCACTTAATCAGCAAATATAACAGAATAAGTGCAATTATTTCGCAATAAACGTGAATTTCATAGTGAAAAACTACTTCCGGAATTGAGTTGGATGTTTCTCTTCGGTTTGAAAAACCACGCAATTAAATAAAAATGATACGAAAGTATTTTTCGTTTAGACAAATATAGTGCAATTTGTCGAATGGAGTTATATTTTTTATTTTCAGCATATATAACCATGTTTATTATTAAAGGTGCCTTAGTGATGTGAATAAATTAATGGTTCATTTGGGCTAGGTAAAGTATATTCCACTATGAAATGCAGAGAGAAAGGTGAAACAAAATTATCCGTTATATAGAGTGGAGCATCCTGTCCGAAATGAGATGAGCATAATACCTACTGGATGTCTAATGGATCACGTGAATCGTCTCACTTGAAACTTAAGACAGTTACCCCATACGCGGTTCTACCAGAAAGTTCGTAATACGTACTATGTTCTTCGTCATTTTTGCTTACATCAGGTCCGGATGGGTTTAGCTATGTGTAGCGCTAACGTGGCCACATTTTTATGCCAAAATGTAACACGACGTCATATAAAAGGGCTGGCAATTAGGCTCAAAAAGGCGGCGATAATCCCAGTGAAAGTGCGGATGGCGTGCCAATATTCCCTCATAACAGAACGCAAAGACGAAAGATGTCGGCGCTTTCACCATATACTTCAAACTTCAAAATGTTTCCTAGAATTGAATGTGTTTAACATGTCGTTCAGAAAAAAATTGGCCTTTAGCATGGCCCTTCTACAGTGAAATAAAAAAAGATTGGAATATACAGGATTCGGAACAGAATGATAAGCATACTTTTCCTACTTAAAAACATCTTAAGACGTTGTTGCACAAGCAGTAAATGTAAATTTTGACCTAAAAAATGTAGCCTTCTGATAAACTCGTCTTTGCGAATATTTAATTACGTCTAAATGTGAAACTTAAAACACAATGTGTCAGAGGAACCAAGCCGTAAGCTTTAATGAATAGGAAATGCCGCCGTAATAGAACACACAAAAAGCTGTAATTTAAGGCTTCCCAGGTTTTCAGTAAGACCCAACTACTTTGGAATTATTTATGCCTAATTTTAGGCCCTCTTAAGTAAAAATGCATTCCACGCTGCTTTGCAGCGCAGTGTTTTTACCGTTATGGCTAAGAAGTCGATGCCCAGTACACATCCATGCCAGTTGCACTGCTCCACTTTTGGCGAACCTGGCTTATTTCGCAGGTGCTTCACCAACAGGTTGCATGCCGTGTTTTGCGATAAATGAAAAGTTGACAAGCGAATGTCTTCATTACTTAACACACAGTTCAAAGGTTTCAAGTCAGTTTACACAGTTTTCTCCGTGCCTACTGTTTTTTAGTAACGAATGATCAGCCTCGATGACCTTTAAGTTCATCACTGCATATAAGCATGCCACATGTTTTATGCGTTGGGGATATCAAAGCGGAATCCCATCACCAATATCTAATTTCCAAATCAAGAGTTAAGCTACCAGATTCCACTGCAGTCAGCTTACATTTAATTTAACCTGCGTAGTCGAGCTTTTTTGGGATAAACACCCATGTTACCAGGCCTAAACTCATGCAATGCCGTGTTAATTGTGGATACGTTATTTCAAGGTAGGAACTCAATACCTACCTTATTAGTTACAAAGACGAGCCATGAATTCATAATAACCACTAATCCCCAGTCATTTAACGGTAATGAAAAAAATAAGAGGCCTTAAAACAGTAAATCGATGTATCGATCTAACGTAATTCTGCACACGTGACCTCAACCGAATGTGTTCGGTCGTCGATTGAATTATACTCCGTATAAGTATAGCCTTTTTTCTGGTTACAGGTGCTATCGCTGATGATGAAGTCCTGCACAACTTCAAAAGTTTCGCTGTTCGACCAACCTCCCTGTTCGCTTACATAATGTAGCCTTAAAAAAGAACTAACAGCGGACATAACTTAGGTGCCAGCAACTTTAACTAACTTTCGCACAATGAATGGAGACCTACTGAACCTGCGGGCACAGCTTGGAGATTTGCAAAATTGCTTAAAGTATAATGGTGTCAATTGACACTTTAATAGTCCAACTGACAATGAATAAGAACAGAAAATACCCTTTATCATGGTAACGTCCAGGAATATAAAAGTTAAACATATGTTAAAGTTAAGCCCACCGTTCAGTTGAGCTTAAATTATGAATTCAGGCCTTACAGTAGGGTTAAGGTTAAATTTTGGAATATCGTTAGTTTAATAATGAGGAAGTGACAATAGTTGTTTGTAATGCAAATTATTGCTAGACAACCTGTGGTATGTAGGGTAGGCTTTCCTGTTGATTTTTCTGCAATGCAGCTAGTGTGCCAGGTCATAATATTTGAATGAAACTTCTTTTCTGCCCCTTCTTAAACTACGCTTTGTAGAAAGATAAATGCTCTGTTAGAATGCATTAAACAGATTCATCTTCGATGCCCTCATATATTCGAATGATTCTTTTCAAAAACGCACATCCAAATATAGTTTGCCGAATAACTTTTGTGGCAAACTACGTCAATCTTAAAGATTGTTGCCTAGAAAAATGTATATTGCGGATTGTAAGATCTTTACTATCATGAAATGTTTAAGACTGTCAACTGTCAATTCATGTATGAGTGCTGCTTGTAAATTACACAAAGCATAGCCTTTCAATGGAAAAATTTTGTGAACAATATTTCGTTTCACAAAGAGTTTAAAGATTTGGTGTGAATAATCCAAATTCATGTGTAGCATGAAACCGAGAGTAAAATTAATCGGTAATTTAAATTTTTTTAAAATAGAACCTGGATCTTCTACTAAGAAGATGCCGTTGTGCCCAAATGGATAACAATAAATAATATGCTGGTAGCCAAGTTTGTCTTAAATATATTTTTCTGTAAGCACGCACAAAATCTACGGCGAAGAAGATTATACTAGTCAAATAGTCCTTTGTATAAAATCTGCAGTTTCACATTTTCATTTCAAAAGTTGTTCTTTATAGGTGATTGAAATTTGTGGAGAAAACGTTGCAAACAAAACAATCTTCTTTCCTATCAATCGCACATTAAGAATTTTCGATGACAATTTAATGAGCTAGTAGGTCTACTGTAGATATATGCTATTTCAATATCGCTATAACTCGACAGATATTATGTATGATCAAACATTGCAAGAGGCACTGTTTTATATGTAATAAACTCACGTAAACGACACTTCATTTAACTCTGACGGCAAATTGAATTCCCGCATTTTTTGTCGTCTCAGCTTGCCCCGTTTTGTCTTCAAACAGACATTTTCGGGTGCTCCGGCCAGCGCTAACTCGCACTCCTGTTTGCCTGCATCGAGTTCTTGAGCCAGAGCCACGACATCTTCAGTCAGAGGTCCGTTAAGTCCCTCATCATCCGGTTCGCATGCTTCCTGCGGAAACGGTTGACTGAAGGCGGCAGGAAGGTAGAGGGCTGATTCGTCGTCACTGTCAACTGAGCCCTGTTTGGAGTCGGTTGCCTCATCAGCAGTGCCCGATGTTCCTCGCACATGCAGAAACGATTTCCACGTTGATTCGCCTTTGCGCTTCTTTCTGGAAGCCGGAGGTTGAGGCGTGTTGCCCGAGGGGCAGCTGAAACCCAAATCCAGACGCGCAATGTTCCGAATGATACGATACAGTGTCCGCTGCATAAAGGGACAACAGGTGCGATGTCGAGGCAGTGCTGAGTGCGTGGCCACGTAATCGAAGCAGTAGATATTCTGGCCTTCCATTCGAAACCTATCTGCATAAAAACGCATAGTGATAAATGGCGATTGCTCAATTTCAAAAAAGCTTACATGCAAAGTGTTCATCAGGCTTGTTTGACTGTGCGCAAGGCGATACAGGATATGTAGGAGTAATGGTGGACAATAAGCCAGAAAAAACTTTTCAAACTGCTTACGGTAGAATGCTCAGGTAGCCGAAAGTTTCTCGCGTGAACTAAGGGTCGGCAATTCCTAAGCTGTAGTTCTTAGTAAAACGGCTACCTAGTCCTCAACGCAAACCGCGGCCATAGTCCCCAGCATTATTCTAATCCTAAATCCAACCCCAAACACAGGAAAAACGGACTAAACATAATGCATTTGACCCACTTGTGAAAAATTTGCAGCCTTGGTGGGACTCAAAATCCCACAGAAGTGAAGGCATTTGGTTCCAAGTGTAATTCAGTGCACGGCTCACGGTTACGCTCGTAGCTCAATGGTACAGCAGTGGCTGCGCAAGAGCCTTCCCTGTTGTGTGCTTTCGACGCCCGCCGAGGCCGCGAATTTTTCAAAATTACGTCAATTGAATTAAGGAAATCTGTCAAACCCTCCTAATAACCCTAAACCGTCCTCTGAGGTTCAAAATAAAACCAGTAGTTTAACCGGTAAAGCGTTTTTTTATTTCTAAATTCAATAAATCTCATGAGCTTTGCAAGCTGCATTCATGTGATGCAAAAGTAGCCCACGCAAACACGTTTTACTTGACTGCACCGACAGGGCCGCCAGAGAAAATACAAATTTCCCAGGCCGTCATGATAAATTAAGGTTATATTAACAGACAATTTGTTTCTTAATCTACTTGTTAACGGTGTCTCGCAGCCGAGTGCCATTTCTGCAAATGAGCCGGATATCGCGTCAAAATTATTAGAAGCTTTTCATCAAGAGGACACTCCTTGGCCGACAACCGGTGAATTTAACTCAGCTGTGCTCAGAAAAATGCCAAAAAATTGACGAATGATGAACATGTTGTACATTTCATGCGCATGTGATTGCAGGTTAAAAATCCAAACAAAATTGGGGCTTTAGCCGCCTATGTCAACCCCAGCCTATATTCAGGTGTCCGATATAAAACTGAAGGAAGGCAATCGTCATTCATCAATCAAAGCCAGTATATAAACGGTGACAAGTGACAAGATGGCAGTGGAGTCGGACGGTAGCCACTATGTGTATGTCCACACTAGCACCTGGAAAGGGTCAACGACGCTGAAGTAAATTATAGTGTTGGTGGACTTGTGCAAAATATATCGCAAAATTTCTCTCGTTTCTATTTTGAACCCCGGTGTCGTGACAAGAATACTGGAGGTGGAATCGGGCGACGGGGGCTGGCGCGCATTCACACCTGTGTTTCGGTTTTTTATCAAAAACCACTGCTGACAGATCCAACCCCAAATTTAGTCAGTAATGATCCACACGTGGACAGGAAAGCCAGCATTGTACCAATAACATCAGATGCATATTATTTTGTTAATTCACTAGCTTATAGCAGCTTTAGCCTAGAAATAGTGCTCTCTGCGTTCAGTACTGTTGATAAATACGGTGGCGGATGATGAATTCAAGTAAGACTCTGCAACAGCAAGCAGTTAAAAAACTTTTCTGCCTAGTTTCTTTGTTCGCTCGATAACCTCTTCTTATTCCTCATCTTCCGAACTTATATATTTGCTTCCATCATCACTGCCACCTTATAGTATAAAAGGGAATATCTCGCGAAACTCCTGTGTCTTTGCCAGCATTTACTGCACGTACTGCAACAACACGTTAAGAAATAATAACTCAATTTCTGCGCATATATATGCCCTTTTTCCCCATTTTTTAAAATCCGAAACATAGGACAGAACACGTAAAGCCTTGGCCTGCCTTTAATAAGACAATATGTGGAAATAAAAATGTTGTTGCTGCTTGCCAACCAAATATACAATATGTTTTGTAACTGCTGAAGGGGCTTGAGATATGGAGATAGGGAGAGTCTGCAATTAAAATCTAGAGTACTTATTTAGTCTGGAAGACAAAAAAACACTTAACATGGACTTAGCAATTAATGACAATTAATAGCAGGGAAAGAGTTACAACCCATGCAGCAGCAACATGCCTACCCGGAATTTGGTTATAATGTGGCTCACGCGAGGCTTGCCATAAAGCTGAAAGAGAAGGAGCTTTTGGAGAAGGGTCCTTGCTATAACTTTGATATTTTATAGCTACCGCAGCCACTTTCCACAGATGCGCCGCAGCGGAATTATCAACTCTACTTTTGTGTGTGTGTGGGATGACACATAACCAGAACTCGTTTTACATCCCGATTATCGCCCTTGCGTGCTAGCGCCACGTTCTTGCCGAAGGCATCTCATCAAAACGCGCCAGCGCTCCCACGCACCCTCAAAAATAAAGAACCTCCTTTGAACTTGAAAGGAGTAAAAAAGAATGAAAATGTTCTTTCCCGTCCTCCCTCCTCTGCTCCCCCCTAATAGTCATGTTTGCCATATTTTGCTAACAATGTCTCGCAGAATTTCCGAAAAGGATGGCAGTAAGGCCTTCGGGAATCGTGTCAATCCTGACGCCATTCTAGTACTCTATGCTACGAGCTTTTAGTTGTTAACGTTTGCACAGAACACAAACTGCTGCCAAACACATTTTCTTTCAGAAATGTTTAGCTTACTTGCGCGCTGATGTTGCAATTTAGGAGGCGAAAGTTTGCGTAACCTCCAGTGCATGCGTATTGGGCGGGGAACCTTTGGGATCGTCGACAAGCTAACTGGACGAGGAAAATGTGCAAGCAGTTTGGTCTGACGATGCAGGTTGAATTACATTTTGCTAAACACACCTAGCATCCAAAACGATGTAACCGACTGTTGCGCATATGTTGTTTGCGCTTTTATGTCATTTTCTGCATAGGTGATTTTCAGCTTTGTCCCTGAATGCGCTTCAGAGGGTTCAACTCATTTTGCCAAAAGGACAATTGCCATTTTTTATTATTAAAAATACTTTTCTAATAATAAACGTTTTGCTGATAAGATTAAACGTAGTACATATAAAAATAATATCATGCATGTTTACCCTCGTAGTTAATGCCCAAACATCGTAGTCGGACAAAAAATATCAAAGTTTAACCTCCTTCATAACCGATTAGGCAGAAGTTCATGTTTTTGTGGCTTGATAAACACGCGTATCGGCTTAAAAACATGTTTAACATTTTTCTTAGATACACTTCCTCCGTCATTTATTTCAGATCATGTGAAAAGTTTACTTTGGAGTCAAATGAAACCTATAATCTTCTATATTTTTAGTTAAAGTAAACGACATCATGATTAGGTTAATCCAGAAACGACTCTTTGATTATACTGAATGCATTTTAAAGTGAGCAGACAAAACTTATACTATCTGACTAAATGGAATCTGTGCGAATTTTCACTTTCGTCTGTGCCCTGTAAGCACCACTTAATATAGCATTCCTTGGCAAACCGAGACGAAATTAGATTTAAATTGAGTTTGAACAAGTTCAAAGTGGTAATATTTGAATGAGTTTACATTTTTTTCATGCTAAGTACGAATGCAGTAAAACATTCAGAGACATGCGCCACATCTAATGCATCAGGAAATCTGAACATACCCTTCTTTACGGATATATTTCCACTAATGTGTACAGTAATGACGTTTTTAGGGCATAATTACATATGCATGTTTGAAAGTTAGCAAAGTGTTCGTAATTGCATTGGTCCATCTCTAGTTACTTTTGGGTAGATGGCAGCCATTGGTTAGTTCCTGCAGAACTCAGTTCCCAATCAGGAGCAATGCATTAAGGACGACCGTTTAGGACAAAATTAGCGCAGTTTATGTGAAATCGTGAGGAAGTGTTTAACAAGTTTGCAGGAATAGGACCAATTCATGTCCTGCTTCCATTTAATTGTATATCATAGCAATCTACTCAATGTGCACGTGGTTTATAATCGTTTCGACCTGCCTTGTCTTTCGTGAATACTTTTGCGTAAAGTCAACTTCGCGTAGTAGATCCAGACGGAAGCTGATGCTGAAACAGGGAGCCTCTGTGATCCATGTTGCACGGTTGTCATGTCAAGGTCACTTTCACGACATCAATCCTGTACACCGAAGATATCTCTCTGCATCTGGACGTTTACTGACAATCTCGCACACTGCGCTACTTACTGATTAATTAAACCTGTAAGGAAAATTTTCATCACCACAGATGGCAGCTCTTCCCTTTTTTAGTTTATTAAGCTTTAGGGGATTATTTAAATCCCCCCCCCAAAAAAAACAAGGCATGGTTAAAGGATCCGTCCACTATATATGTGCCTTGTGCACAGTTGTGGGCGCATTAATCTTACCTTTAAGGAAAGAGTTAGGCTTAATGTAAGGATTGGGAGCAACTTCGGTGTTAGAGTTTGGGGTACACTATAAGCTATAATTCAGGTTGAAATTTAAGCTCATTTCAAGACTTGTGTTAGGAGTAGGAAGAGTGAAGTCTAACTGTTCCCGAACTTAAGCGCAAGGTCAGTCTTGTTTACTTTTGCGACCTGTTCATGGAACATTTAAGGTATCTTTACTATAAAAACGATCTTGGTAGCGATCAAGTATATGGATTAGCACGCAAAGTACTTTATTCTCAGGTACGGAACGGGTGGCATTGCAGGTCGTAAGAGCTGAACATTACAGGGCACAGAAGTGAAGATAAAAGAACCATAAAAAGGGGAAACAGTTGCTAAAAGTATTAAAATCAGTTAATTTATACAACCAACAAGCGCGCTGATTTAAATATAAACAAAACGCATTTTGGCTCAAGTCAAATCCGTTTGAATTCTAAGGATTTGAATAATCGACCGAAAAATATATCCAGGGGTTTTCAACTTTGTCAAACGCTTATTGAATTCCAAATACGAACCTAATTTTCTGTCCTTACCTTACTTTCCAAAGGAAACTTATTGCAAACCGTAATATTAATGTATCGTAAAGAAGACTCCTAG